CTTCTATAATAATAGCGGTCTAAATCGGGGATAAGATGTCAGGGTAGAAGATTTTCTCAAGGAGATATGATATACTAAGATAAAGCAAAATAAAAGCGATCAAATTGCATATCAATGGAAATACTTTATGGTTAGTGAAAGAAATACAGACTACACTTTTCGACACTTTACAGTAATAAATTACTACGCATCACCAACTCTTCGGAGTATAAAAACACATTAGATGATTTCATAAGGGAATTTAGTTAAAACCAGTCTCCTTCAGGAAAGCATAATTTGTCTGAAAAGCGTTTGTCGTAGCACATCAATGTTTTTACTCGTAATGACCCCTTTGGATTACACGTGGCTGGTTAAAAGACTTCATATCATTTCTTTAATATGTAGTTCAGGTTTCCGCTAAATTTTGATTCTTTTGTCAGCTCTAAAACATTAGAAACCTTAGATGTACAGATAATCTAGATCATGTGTTAAAAGTACATAAACGAGATATATGTTTACGTTTTTGTCAGTTCATGCATTTTCTTGACTTCCTTCACAAAAACAATGAGTAATCTATCACATAAATGATTTGATGTGAACACATGAGGTGTTTCATAAATAATTAGTAATCCGGAGGAGGGAAATGTTTGTATTTTCAAAGTGATAGAGGACACTTGCACTAATCATCTACTGTAGCTTAGTCATTTGCAATGGTTAGGATTTTATGAAGTGGTGATCAAAATTTCTAATTCTGATCTGATGCTAACCGAAAAATACGGCGTCTATTATATTTCTGCTATTTCTGTATTTTTACAACAAGAGAGTCATAGATTGTTTCAGCTCCAACTAAGAATATTGGAGTATCTCTTCTCAGAGACAAAATATTTTTACGTGGATATAAATATCAATCTCGTATTTACTCGACCTATAGGGTATATGTGTCGAACAAGATAGAGTCCGTCACTTTTGATAAACTGAAAAATAATCTCGTCCTACAATATAAACATTAGAAACGCTATCTTGGCATTATTATTTGGTTTATGAGCACGAATATCATTTCAAATGACATCTTCAATGAATTTTATTTATTTCTTTCAAATTCAACTGAAATCTTGAATCTTGTCCAACATTACTCAATAAATATTATCAAAATATCTTTCAACAGTTTATCACCAGCTATAAATAATATCAGGCTTCACGACGTTTCTTCAGTTTAACTGTTTTATTTCAAGTCTTTGAATATTTCAAATACTTTAACTGGCTGTTAAGAGATGCGCCAACTTGACGCATCTTTTAAACACCCTTTTCATAGGCTTGGTCATATCAAACACAATACACAGTATCAATGCGTTTTAGAACGATTTTAATGGTAGTTGTCAATCATTCCGAAATGAGACTATTGAGTTTTGAAATCAGATCTTAAAAATTATCCACCCAAAAACATGAAACATAAATTTAGATGCATTGCCTCTCATGGGGATTGTTGTATTGAATTTTCTTGAACAACACTGATTGTCCTCTGATAGCCATGTCATGTTGGCTGGAATACTACTACCAGAGAAGAAACATTGCAAGTGATTAAGTCAGTGCTTTCCTATTGAGATAGGTTGAGACGAACGATATAATCATACTAATTTTTTACAAATTCTGGTGATTTTTGATACAAATTGGATAAAAATGAGAAAGTAATGAAGTGAAAGTTGAGCTCTTAATTATTAGTCTCTGGAGTTTTTCAGTTTATTTTAGTCACAAGATACAATCAGAAGATTTTACACTTCAATTGAATGGGTGTATGGTCTAAAACGTAGTTTTCAGTTAGTTCAGTCAATTTCAAATAACAGCACAACACATTCCTTAAAGTACACAAAACCTAGTCAGAGACACCAAACTTAAATGGTCTCTTTCAGAACATTGAACGTTCAACGTACTCCGGCAAATCGCTGAAATGTGGCTATATCTTCATTTAGATCTGTAGTGAAATGAATTGGAAACTGACTGTATACATGGCATATTATGCGCGACATTGCTCATCTTGGTATCTTTTAATCGATCGTTTGACTAGCTAACACTTCATTATTTTGTTTTTTACTCTAGAAAAGAGTTCAGTTCAGCTCTTACATTTTTTATGCTTTACGCTTTTATTAAAGACGTATTTTATGGCCAAACTTGTAACATAATTCAATTGAACCCCAGACAGTAAACAGCTCGTCCGTGGTTAATGTCGTCCATGATTGATAATATATATAGTAGGAGTTTTAAGTACGAAGGCACCATTAAACCGTTTAATGTTTTGTGAAATTTTCTCTTAAAACAGAATAAAGGGCATTGTAAGTTTCTGTCTAGTATGTTTGTGGAAATCTAAAGATACGAATTTGGTTCAAGGACACATCGCGATACTGCATGTCTCTTTTAAGGTGAAAATTCTACATAACAAATAATTCTTACTAGCAAAAGCGGATCTGCATAATATTGGCATACGGGTCCACAATTGGTATAATACAATAGTTTAAAGTATGATTATTAACTTCTATAGTGGATGTAAACCTTTATTTAAATATCATTTATAGTTATCACGAAACCTTCTACTTTAATGTAAAAAAAATAACTTAATTTAAGAGAGTTTAGAAGACCAACATCCAGAATCTCAACGAACTATGGACTACTTTATGTTCGAAAACTATTTCTATGGGTTATACTATGCCTATGAAATGTTACCCTGTAAAAACACCTACACATTTCCTTCTGCTTACACATTTTTATACATAGAACTTCCTGATACTGTAACAATAATACTTTGATAAAGACGTAAATTCATTTTCTGGTGTATTGAAAGCATACTTTCATAGCGTGTTATTGTCATTGGACAATTTATGAAAAATATTAATGCATCTATATGTGTAGAATAACATGCGATGAACATATATTTCAGATATTTTACATTATCCCGCTTTTAGACGTTTGAAAAACATGGGCTATATGTTATTTGGGAAAAAATTCTGTTGACGTTAAATAAGATTTAATGGAATTTCGACGAAATCTACTTTAATCCTCCAGAGAAAAGACCGATTCTATTTTCATTTCGTATTATTGACTGAAATTTATCCGAATATGTGTTTTTTTTCATCTTTTTTTATATGTGCATCATTTTTCAGAGACATTTCGAAACTCTGTTTACATAGTGACGAAATAGAAATAACTTAAGAGGAAATCCCTTTATTCCGATGTAAAAAAGAAATAAGTCTTGAAGACACGCACTAAACAAACATTCATTGAGATTTAAGATGAAGCAATCGTTAACGAAATGGCATCCATAGTTTGAAATGGGATATTGTGTTCAATCTTGTGGCTTTTGATGTACATGTTTGAATTCCCTTTTTCTAGTCCCTCCCGGGCTCCCAAAACCGCGAAACGTTGTTCGTTATCCTCTAGTACCTTTTCGCCCGAGAAAAAAATCGTTCTACGAGAATGGACAACTGTGCTGAGCGATGAAGAACTTCGACAAAAAATGAAATTATTGGAACAATCAAACGTTATGTCCGATTATTATAAAACTGTATTCAAATATAACTTTTTAATTAAATTGAAACCTAACGAGTATTGCCTGCCCAGATTGAGATACAAGTCTTCTACGAGCAATTAAGGTAGAATTTCAATCTTCATTTCAAGCTTGGGAAAATGAAAAACCTTTATGCGCTCATATAAAAGATTATATTTTCCTATTTGATCTTTTTATCTGTTTTCTGTAAAATATATTCCTGTTAAAAGGTTTGACATCAGTGGGAGATATAGGTTTTCTTCCCAATAACATGTATATCTTAAAAATATTTTAAAAGACTTAACCGGAAGGCGACCTTAATGGATTATACAATAATAGGAGTTGAATATCATTAAGAATTTCCGTTTATGTGTAATTTTAGCAAATTATATTGTTTATCGACAGCTTAGAATTATCGACAGAAGTTCAAAGCCCTGTCCGTCAAAAATGTGTGTCTCGATGGTACAGTGACATTCCGTTTAGTACCATTGAACTGTCTGCATGACACACATAGAAAATAAAAGAGTCAATCTTACATTAAACAAATGCACCATTTGACCATTCTGATCTGGGCTATGGTCAAAAATAACACATTCAAAAATTTCTTATCCAATACTGGTTCATGTGGTATAAGAAATAGGACAGCAAAAAAATTGTTTGGGTCGAAGATAATTTCAGCAACTTATCGAAAGTTGTGTCAAGTTGACACGTTCATACAGCTTAATTTAAATTATCCGGAAAGGTGATTCGGTTGTGTAATTGTTAAACTTAAAAACGTGTTATATTGAAAACCTAATTTTATTTTGGTGTGATTCATTGAAAGAAAATCGTTAACAACGAGACGGATATCTTGTTATACACCAAATTTAATCGACTGTTTAACAAATTTCACCCTAGCAGTCCACCCTAGGTCTACCCATAATCACTATAAAGCCTTCTAATTGGTGTAATTTCAGAAAACTAATAGGAATTTAAGATGCTGGAATAGCTTTATGTTTCAACCTCATCTTGTGTGATGATTTAAATTTATAGAATTATAAACTGATTTGTCACAACGACTAGATTTCAAATTCGATTGGAATTCAAAATTAAACGTTAGGTATTTGTTTAGACATCATTCTGTCGAAGACAGGCTATAAATTGCCTTTCAATCAATCTTAATTTGCTTGTTTTTAATCGTCTATCAACAGAATATTGGTTAAGCGGCGGTTTTTATATTTTCATGTCTTGTTTAGCAACATTGTTGTGGTTCCTCTTTCAGAATCGACGCATTAAACTGTATAAATCATTGACGCCTTTGGGACTTATACTTATAGTTCCTTGATCGTATAAGACACATTATTGAAATGTCATATGAATAAAGATGCGACACGGTGCCACAGTATGTAACACAAATAGTTTTCACGTAAATGTTTGATTGTGCATTGATATGCCATCAGTATTGTCCAAGGACTTAAAGATTTACAAATCCTTCTTTCTCTTTCAGGTTCGTGGCGATAGTGTTTCCAATCAAAGCTCACATTTTGTGTACAAGAAAGAAGATTATTTGTATAATAATGTTAATTTGGCCAGCAGCAGTTTTTTGTGGACTGCCCACAGTTTTGTTTAACAGGGTTATCCCTCTTAGACCAGGCCACGAAATAGCCTTGTGTCAGTTAATTTTTCCCTATAATCACCTTTCTGTGTTTTTATCCTTCAAATATGTGGAAAGTGGTATTTTCTATTTTTTACCCATTTTAACTCAAGTTATTCTGTACTGTGTCATTGGTCGAAAACTTTACGCCAGCACAGAAGAACTGTGCACAAGGTTCCAAATGAGACAAAATGCTAAAAATCAGACGGATCGTGCCAGTGAGACAATTCGTGCCAGGAAAGGTGTAGTGAAGATGTTAATAGCAAGTGTTGTGATTTATTTCATAAGTTACTCTCCAATCCAAATCCATCTTTTATACAACACCTTCTCCGATAGTCCACTTCCGGCGAGCTGGAGTTTTCTCGTGTTTGTTATGACAATGACCCACGTCAATTCAGCAGCCAATCCAATTCTTTATTGTATCTTCAGCCAGAATTTTCGCCGAAATTTCAAAAAGTGTTTATGTTTCGTATGTTTTCGAATGCAGCGAAAAGCCTATCGTAGAACGCGATTTGATTCATTTGATTCGAAGGGAGCATTGTCGCGTAGATCCAGTACTTCTAAGACTATTGTTTCTAGTAGATTCTGACTAGGACTGGATAAGTCGAGAGTGCAAGACAAACACCATAAACTATACAGGAAACCAGCTACGAAACACAAATCGACTTGGTGATCATTTATGAACACAGGAGAAGACAAAGTATGAACAGAATTGTCTAACGAACCCCTTGTTGGTAATAGGGTTTCACAAAGTTGGTAAACACGTGTAATATTGTCATATCGTGAAGTCAGAATGTGGTTAATTGTGCTGTACTAACAACACTCCTTGCCGAAACGGCTATTCTAAACATTGCTGAATATTGGGTGTTTTATTTCTAGAATTCATCTTGTGTTATATGCCTAGATCCACGAGTCTTGGACCTTTATATCTGAATCGATGACTTTAGATTGATTATACGACATGTTCAGTGTACCCGGTGTGTTTCCCAAATCTTGTACCTACCCCAAAGCCACCTCGCGATGAAAAGCAAAGAACTTCTCTGGCCTTATTCTTTGTACTGAAGAATGCTACGAATGGCGCATATACATTATACAAGCTATTATTAAAATTTCTATATACAGCAAGTTTTCCTACATATCTCTTTGATATTCCTGAAATTGCAGTGCGTCATGGAAGATATTATGATCGGTTCCAGAATCCCGGAGTACTGATGCCGAGTCCGTCAGCAAGCAAACGATCAAACCTTTAAAATAGGGGCCAGCCAAGCGAACTAGAACATCACGAACTATAATTTGAAGCATGGTTGTTACTGGGTCTCTGAATTAGTTCTGTGATTCAATCCTAAGATAAGGTGGTTGAGATCATTTGTGAGACCAAGATATCAATTCCACGGGGAAATAAGATAAATAATGTCTTATTAATTATAAATTCTTATGGGATGAACTTTAGTGACAATAACAAAGTTCAATTTACAAATCAAAACAACTTGCCTTATAAAACGCGTAGAGATCTGCTGTATTAGGTTGCTTTCTGACAAATTTAAAGTCTATACAAAGACAAAAATAGAGATTTGAATTATAGGACAGGTTTCATGAAGGATATTCTACAAATTATCGAATGATAACTAATGGGACACACTTGTGGTTGTGGTGCAAGTAACTTAAATATGTAGTCAGAGACATGAACATTAAAGTTTAATTCAATTTGCGAAGGAACAATTAATTCAATTAAACAAAAACTAAAAAAACTTACCTGGACATGTTCTATACCTATATGGTTTGTGCAAAGTTATATTTTTCTTCCCTAGAGGGATTTCTGAACGTTATATTGTTATTGTTGCCACCTAAAATTATGTCCATGTCCATGGTATTTGAACTATGTTGGTTCCGCGAGAAACAGAAAAAATTGGCCATGTTTTATGAGGGTTATCTTTGTTCATCTAGGGCTTATATACAGGGTGCTAATGTTACCTATATATTTTTTCTTTTGGGCGCCTACAATATGACCATTCTAGTTTTTTGACCCTCTAGCCGACAGAAAATGTCGGAATCATTATATCCAAGAATGTAGATTAAAAACAAAAAGAATCTATTTTAAAGATTATTTTTCTAGTGTAAAAAGTACACGACTAATGTTGTTAGTTATTTGTTAATTCTGAATAAATTTTTCAAATATATTTAAATCTTATATCATTTCGTGCTTTAGAATGGTTCCAGAATCAGTATGCATATTTTGTTCCACACTTTCTTTCGTAAGTTTTCGTAAGTTCGTAAAGTTCGGACACTTGTCCTCACAAATTATGAGATATTTCTCTGTAATGATGAACTTCGTGTCATAAGAAAGCGTCTAGAATTAACAAAAGGGCATTCAGTCAATCACAATAGTTTTTTCCTTATGCTCTAATTCCTTTAATGAACTTTTCCGTTATAACGCAAATCTAATAAATAACGAAGACTTATTCAAAATCATGCTTCTGTACTTGTTTTCATCACTACTATATTGTCTTATTAGACTATGTTATGTGAATGTTTTGTTCGACGACAAAAAGAGTAAAATTTCCTGAAAGGAAAAAAAATGGAAATATGATAAAATATTGGGCTGTATTATTAAATCAGACTCTTTATTATTTACAAAAATCATAAATTTGATACCATATTTCCCAAGACTGCCATTAAGACTTCCATGTTAAAATTTTTTTCGTCTAATATTATTTTGTCTAATAGAATGGCTAATGTTATCTAAACATGCCATCACCATACAGGTTGTTCGCTAGATAGTTTATCTAATTTACGAAATTTCTCAGTTAGGGTGAATCCGTACAATAAACAAATCTAAATCGAATATAGACTTGAACATGAAATGAACATGAATTCTACTCCTACACCCGTGTCATATTGGAGTAATTAAAACAACCAAAACCTTACAGATGAATCCGAAACATTACGAACATAAGTCACATAGACTACTGCAATTAAGTGTCTGGGAAGTGCATGGAATTTTCAAGCTAAGCTAGTCAAAAATCATCACATTTAAATTAGGAACTCATGCCGTTGTTTAACACAATATTATATGATCTCCCATACTTTGTTCGATCACTTTCGTTACAATCTGTAACAATCTTTTCGGTGTATATATGGCTTGTCATAACAATTGCGTAAATACGCTCGGTATATCATCACTAATATACCCAAAAGCTACCGACTTTCAGATGCTGATGCGTCCGAAAGGAGAGACATTTACGAGCTTACATGCTTCGTATTTCAACTGACTACTTACAAAAACAATATGAAAATATTTTGTATAGATTTAAAAGAAAAACAACTTTTGGCTTAGTATTGGATTTACCACGATGATTGTGATGTCTAAAAATGTTTTAAAGGTTTAAGAAAAGATCTAGATAGATTAAAGATTTAAAAACACCAGATGAAATATAATCCTTACAAAGTCAGCAAAATAGTATTTGCAAGTCAAGTTTAACATCAAGGGATCTTTAATAGCTTAACAACAAATAATATAGAAATATTAGAGGATTAGATTTGGTTGAAGTTGAAAGAAAATGTCATTTGGTTTAGAAACATAGATTTTTAAATAGCGTCATAAGATCATCATTGGTGTATTTCAAAGAGTTCTTGAGATCGGTGCGTTTCGGGAATAACATCATTAATGCGACAAATTCAACATTAATGGCTCTGGCACTTCCTTACAGGTCCGTCTTAGCCCACGTGGTGCAGACAAGTAAGACGTAAAACTCCTCATTTCATTTCATATACTTTCTAAAAGAGGTGACGATTTAACAACTCCAGCCAGAGAGTTATATTGGCCGGTCCTCAAGGCTAAAAGCAAACGTACCATTCCTTGCTAGCGACACCCGACACACCATGAAACAAATGAAATCCTATCAGAATTCAAATATGAAAATGCTTTGTTAAGCCGTTAAATGATCCGTCTTGAACAATAAGACTTTTGAACCCTGTGGAAAGAACAGCTACAGCTGCCAGAAGTATAGAATGAGGCAGTACGATATAGGAAATGTGTACTACAAAGACAATCGTCCTGTGGGATTATTAATAAAATAAATCAAAAGAAATAAGGAACGTTTTTACAACAGATCTAAATAAAGACACAAATATTGTTGAACATGACAGTGTGACAGAATTGTCGCAAGATAACAACTACTTCACTTCTTTCATGAACGTCTTTGAAAACCTAACCAACAGCATGTGTTTGTCTGTATCCAGTAAACATCAACAATACAATACGTCAATTACAGATAAATGAATGAAATAGAGATGGCGTTCCTTTGGAAAGATTGACAGTGGATAATAAGTGTTCCATGTAAAATAAGGGTAACTTATTTCGACTCCGGTGTTCTATGAGTAATTGACAAGATTGCCTGCGCTATTCAACCGCAGACATATATCATTTGAAATATAAGATAAGACAAAATGTACTTTATTCAAACAGATTCTTCTTGCGATAATGGCTCCCTCTACAGGCTAAGTATCATGTTTCTAAAACTATGTTTATCATGTCATTATTCAATTATGTTATTATCATTTAGTGCCAAGTTTTGTTGATTCAATACGCATATTGTGTTGTTTTTTTTAACAAAGCAAATACTTGCTATAGCTCGAAATATGTCATACAAGAACCACAACAAAAGAGCAACCTATTTACAATCAAAGTCTAATAATTCGAATAAATTATAATGATATTATTTTCTGTATCCTTTACATAAAGAAACGCTGTGGCAGCCATCTTTTGTTACAGAATGTATGTATCTCCTGCAAGATCCGGTGTTTTTTCAGATTATTTTCAATTTACCAATTTTTTTCTATAATTGGTCAATTAAATATACTGGCGACGACAATCTTGGTGACAGAGATCTAAATAATTCCGTGGAACTATTTTTTTTATACGGAAGTAGATGAAAAGAATTATGTAGGTAACAGAGAAGACGAATAACGAACAATCTCAACACAAAGACCACCCATGTATGGAAAGTTATGGTTGTGGGCAAGCTTAGGAAATTGAAAATCATGTCATTTAGTAGTAGGATGTTGTATTGAGCTATGAAACAAATGTTGTATTTTTGTATTGAGCTATGAAACAAATGTTGTATTTTTGTATTGAGCTATGAAACAAATGATGTATTTTTGTATTGAGCTATGAAACAAATGATGTATTTTTGTATTGAGCTATGAAACAAATGATGTATTTTTGTATTGAGCTATGAAACAAATGATGTATTTTTGTATTGAGCTATGAAACAAATGATGTATTTTTGTATTGAGCTATGAAACAAATGATGTATTTTTGTATTGAGCTATGATACAAATGTTGTATTTTTGTATTGAGCTATGAAACAAATGATGTATTTTTGTATTGAGCTATGATACAAATGATGTATTTTTGTATTGAGCTATGAAACAAATGATGTATTTTTGTATTGAGCTATGAAT